AAATGAAATATTTATAACACATTTTTTTATAAAGATTTACATAAAAAAACATTTCGACTATCATTTATAAAACGGTGCTGAAACATTCTTCTTATATTAATAGTGTGTAGCTCTATTACAAATTGCTATATAAGTACAGAATACGCAGAATTTTTCTTCTTAGCACATAATCAAAACAGGTTAAAAATACAATAAGATCTTAGTCACAATCATGTGGCCATTAACATTTAAACTGACTTTTGTACCGAAGGATTATTGTGAAAGCTGTTTTTACTGAAGTTCCAAAGGAAGTATGTCAGTTTTGAAGTCAATATATCCATCTTTACAAGAGAGATGTGATAATTTGGTAACAAATGTTTGAATATGAATAGATTAGTGAGAGTGCTATATTTAAATAACATTTACATCTTCCTTCACTTTCACATCTATTTTATTTTTGTTATAAAACCAAAATGAATATTTTCTCATTATACACCCAAATAATTATCTATATCACCTGTTTTATTCATATATAACTGAAATCAAATCGAAAACAGTTTTGCAAAAGATTAAATAGCTCACAAGAATTTGAGATTGTAATATATTAGATGATAAAAATTGTTTATATATGTATTCGTATTAGAAACAAAAACAAAAGAGAATACATACTATTTATCTTGAGAATCGATCAATGTTAGACAATGCTTAACTGAAAATTGTCTGTAGTCGACAGTTGCACTTGAAATTATAAATGAATATGTATTGTTATTTGAAGATCAAAAGTTACAACTGTGACAAATAATCTGAAATTGAAATTATACAAAATATGTTATATTGCTAAACGTAGAATTATAGATACACATTCATAATAACACACATAAAACTGCCGAAAGTAGCACCATAGCCAACACTTAGTTTTTTTTATTTGGAGAATCATTTTATACACTTATAAAACAAAGAATACATATCTATTAGATCATTAGTGCAACTTATAGCTCACGGGATACCTATAGTAAATTGCAAATTAATTCAAGCTCTGACACTTGTTACCAGGGACTAGTAGGTACTGGTAGGACCTAGTAGGTACTAGTAGGACCTAGTAGGTACTAGTAGGACCTAGTAGGGTCTAGTAGGACCTAGTA